TGTCAAAACAAACTAATCAATAAGACTTTTTTTCGCTATGGTTTTATAAAAGTTCGCGTTATTGTATTATTATCATAGTTTTTAGAAATGAAATAAAAACATTTTTACCGAATGATTTGTTCTTAAAATAATTTTTTTGTGTCTGATACACACAATAGTTTTGTTTTTAGGCTGAGATTTCTTTGATCGGTTACTCTACTTTAGGTAGGTAACCTTACTACAACCCAGTGGCGGATCCAGGGGTTGTCCAAAGGGGGGGGGGGGTGAATTTTCGTATTTTGTGGGTATAATAAAATTATCTTTTTTGATTTTACTTTTTATTAATTGTCTACAAAATATGTTACAGTGTATTAATTATTTTGATTAGTTATTTTTTAATTAATCATTATTAATTCAGTTTAATTTTGATCCAATAAACTTTCATAGTAAATAGCTACAACAAGTTTGTTTAAATTCAAATACATACTTATAATTAAGCAAAGTACAATACTCAGATAAGTTTGATATAAAATCAATGCATCTTTTTTTTCTTTCAATAATATCATTTACATTTAAGGGGATTCGATACCGGCCGTTTTTTCAGTCAAAACACATCATTTTTTGTCCATCGCACAGGCCGAACCGGTATTCCGATAAGTAATTTGAAAACAGATTGGAATTTGCCATGAAGTTTACTTAGGATCGGTCAGGGTACTTTTTTCAATTTTTAATTTTATCCCTTTCCAAATTTGATTTTAAAATTTTAAAAAAGTACGCTGACAGATCTCAAGTAAACTTCATGACAAATTCAAATCTGTTTTCAGCGACGGAACAAAAAATATACTATTATATAAACTAAAATAGCTTTTACTCATAGACAAAATTATTTAAACTAAATATAATACCATGAAGTTTTTACAAATTACCAGGTAAATTAATTGACATGGTCGAAATTTGTTACAACCACTTTTTTCTTGGGCCGAACTCCAACTCCCCCCCCCCCCTTGGTCCAACTCGGACCAAAGGGGGGGGGGCGATCGCCCTCCCTCAAATCCGCCACTACTGCAACCTAATACTGTGCATAACAAATGGCAAAGAAACGTACAACGGTTTAAAGTAAAATTTCTCTTTTTTCCTTAATTAAAAAATGTTTTTTTAAGAAATTGTATATGTTATAGCTCTGGACCTTCTTTCGGTCTAATTTCTCTAATCTCGAGTCCTAAAGTTTCACTGGAAAAATATAAATAAAGGAAAAGTTTGCACCCTCATATTTCACAACATTAAATTGTTGCACGCTACAACTACCCGAAATAATTAAAACGGTCAGTATATAGTTTGGAAATTCATTTGAAGTATTCTTGAGATAATTATTGAACTTATTATCTTTAGTAACGCATGAGCTTTCAAGTTACAAGACACACACGTCGGGGCTTTGGTACTTGGGTGTCTATTGTAAGCCGACGGTGAAATTTTAGTGAATGAGAGTGCGGGCAAGTGTTTTTGAATTAGTGCAGTGGAGCGTAATGACTTGAAAACGAGTGCGGGTTTCATACAGAATACTTAGAAAACTAATATAGAACTTATTGCGGCAGGAAAGTAGTAAACAGAGTTAAACAGTATTTAACTTGTGCCCAGCGAATGTGTGAAGTGACGGGCTCGATAGAAATCGGTAATGAGCATAATAAATTAAAAAACGCAGCACATTTAACGCGAATAATAGGCTTCATTTTGAAATTAAATAGTTTTTAATTATTTCATGGGGATTTAACATGACGACGGACCAAGGGTAGATAATAAATGTTTAACCCTCCCTCAACAGTGTCAATTAGAGTGATAACCTTTTTAAGTATTACTAGGTTTTTTTAAATGAAGTATTTGTTAAAAACCAAAGACGATTTAATGACAATAATGGCAATTAATTTGTTTTTTGAAAATTAAACGGCAGAATGTTTGAATTTCTTGTTTTTTTCCTCCAGTCTATCCATTAATCATTTTTTTTTTCAGTTATATAAGTGGCAATTTTCTTTTTGACATTTAAATTAAAGTCAAGTAAAAAAAATACCATCAACGGGGAGAATATGAAGCCGAAGAATTAAACCCCCCACGACCGGCCATGAACTCGCACTATTAATCTCATAAATAATTTTATTTTACCGGCATTGAAATGTAAATCTATAGGTATAGAAAAATGTATTCATGTTATTTTTTTTTTTGAATTTCTTTTATGATATATTTTTTTATACACTGCTGTAGTTTAGAATTAATAATATTTTCTTAAAGTTTTGTTGAGTTTTAGTGGAAAATATAAAAATATTCAATGATAACTTTTTAAAATTGGTGCTGTATGGAAATATTGTCATAAATGCTAATGTTAATGATCGTAAGAACGTTCTTTAAAGATTTAACGAATCAATTTACATTAAAAATGGTTTTCGATTGGTCCATCCAATTTTAATGAACCATTCAATTTCTGGAATTATGAGTAAATTTTTATCAAATGTAAAATACTATCAAAACGTGTGTTTTTAGTATTTGATTTACTGTCAAACTGTTTTGTGAAATGGTTTTTCGATACTCAAAAAAATTGTAGTATTTTTAATAAAAAATATTTTCAACAAAATGTGACTGCTTTTCGGACGGTGTTTGAAAGTCATATTTGAAAACACATAAATTGAATAAAGATTTAATAAAATGAATTGCTGTTTTAGACAGCTTTTGTTCATTTTTACTACAGCTAAAACTATCCGTGTTTGGGGGGTTTTTTTTTTGTTTATTTAAAATAATAAAAAACATAAATTTCGTCGTCCCCGGCCGTCGTTTAGGTTAATACACAGTGTAATAAAACCGTATATTATGTCAGCCGAGACCGCATCTATAAGGAACGCCAGTGCGGTTATATTTCATCATAGAAACCCACTTTTACACGTCAGAAGTGCATTAGGTAATAATATCGTTCAATGATCGCGATTCATAAATATTATTTCACGTCCCCTGCAAAAAGAAAAAAAAATGTATATTTACACACATGTATATATATTATATAAATATATATACATATACCTATTAAGGGTTTCAATCTAAAAAAAAAAAAACACCTCTAATATGAGAAAAAACACATCACGATGTGTTAGATTTTGATTTATAGCGTAAACCGACCGTAGTGTCGCACACGAGTTTGTATAGTGCCTAAAACGTACGAGGTTTTTATTGGCCTTTATCAAATCATAAAACGTATATATATATATATATATATATATAATATAGCAATAAGTCAAAACGTCTTCATGTGCAACACCTTCACTCTAAAATTGAATGTTGAAAATTGCAACGTGAAGTGACAACATAAAATTTATTTTATTCACACCAATAACATAATATCCATGTCAAAATGTAACACGGTTATCGATAATAATTCAATAATAATAATAATAACTTGTTTAGCTTAAAATCTCTCGTTTTTTTTTTACCACTGAATAATTGTTTGCATACATTTAGTCTGTAAATAAAAAACGGATCACCTAACTTTTAGACGGATAAGCTGAAATTTTGAAATAGTTAACCCCTTTATCTTTATAAATTGAAAAAAAAAACATTCAAAATATTTAAACTTATCTGAAACAAATTTAATAGCCAATATGGTCAAAGAAATTAATTTGTAATTTGAATTAAATTAGACCAATAATAACTTAATTATTATTATTGAAATTGATAATAATTATGTTATTATATTAACTATATTTATTTTTCTTGTTTCATTCGGTCGTGTGTTGTACTGGTTATGTTTTTCACAATAAACGTTGAATTACAACTAAATATCAAAATGCATTGTATTGTATCATATTAATAATAATGTTAACATAATATTATCTACGTAGGATACAATGTTTTCCGTGGAGCGAGAAAATAGTTTTTTAATTTTACTTTTTTAATAACGTTTACCTGTTGTGAGAAACTGCGTCAGAACCTTTTTATTGTTATTAAAAAGTCGATTATTATTAAAAATCAAAATAATCCTCGGTCACCGATCACATAATATACTACGCATTATGGTAAAATACTTATTGCTAAAAATATGTATTTTTCTTTCACAAAACGTTTTCCCTCAAAATGCGTTTCACGTACAAAACTTGTATTGTTAAAGTTGTCGAAACTTATAAGGATTAATATAATAATATAAAAAAGTTTTCGAAAAACTACTACTTTTCTTCTTACATAAGACAACTTTGTCAAAAAATACACAAATGTTTTTTCAACGAAAAGTTGTAGAGGAATGAAATAAACGAAAAAAGTTGGGAAATTATTTTTACAGGTAAAAGTTGTACCAACGAAAATGTTGTAGTTAAAGAGGAAATCTGACTCACCTGCCTCATTTTTTCATTAAACTCTTCATAATAATAATAGTGTAATAATTGAATTTATTAATGGGGTTATGTCAACAAAACAAAGTATATGTTATTTCCATTCTTCTGACCACAATGTCGCATGTAACTAGAATACATGTTTTCGTCGTACGTTTCTATACAATTATCTCTTTGTGTACTTATCCTATTTTTCTATTTCCCATTGTAAATTTTCCACCTACCCATTTTTAGACCCTCTTTAGTTTTGTACTTAGATTTCATGACTCGTGACGCAAACTCGTACAATTTGTTTTGAACAGATTTCTTTAATATCAAACCCAGACATAGCCGTAGGCTGTTCTGTATTTTCGCCATCAACATCAACTATTAATAGCTTTAACTAATGAAAATCTCTTTTCTTATTTTTCCAAACATTTATGTAGCACTCCAATAAGTTTCATTTGACGATGTCGTACATTTTGTTTAGTACTTTGTGTAAGATTTATAGACTGTTTTATAACTATTGTAGAAATGTAATCATTAAAAATGAAAATGAAAGACAAGAATTTCTGACACCGGAGGAAGGTTAGGTTATTTATTTTATTATTATATTGGTTTTACGTGATTCAATGTTTTTCTGTGGAGCGGAGAACCTAACTAGAGATTTGTTTTATATTTCAGTTTGAACCGGTCAAAAATGTGAACCCAATACACCTGAGTGAGAGACCCTCGGCGATATCATCATCATCATCATGTGTTCGGTTCGCCGGGTCACTTCGGGACTCGTGTTACTATTGATGTTGTACTTGACTATACCGGCGAGTTTGGCCGCTGGCATCCGGCACGGTCGGTCGAGAAGCGCCAGAAACCTTAGACTTAACGCTCAAATGCCACTGAAACGTTCAAACGGCGGCGATGCACCGGAAAACGACATCGTCAACCGGCTGTTGCGAATCGTCGAGTCGCAACAACAACTGGGAAACAACTGCACGGCTGGAACGCACCTGAATCTCGGCGAAGGAGTCGTCGACAGATATGCTCAGGTACGGTAATCGGCGTCGATCAGTAGTACACAGTTGATGTAACTTGACTATACTATTAGCCATTTTCAGAGAGGCTTACTAAGTGGATTATTATGAACAATGGGGCAGGCGGGGACAACAGCTTCTCTGAAAGTCAAACAAAATTATATCTAATATCCCAAATTCACAAAATTCATTACACATTACAGTCGTCTCTCCTAAATTTTCACTTGCGGTCGACCACGATTATGAAGTAAGCGAAAAGGCGAACTGCGCAGTGTGACTAAAACGACGAAATTACATTTATCTATAATATTTGTTCTTCTACTGTAACCGTGTGAACATTATCGTATTGTCGTTTGAAATTTAAACTTGTTGATCTATATAATTGATAAGGATTATAATGGACAGTGCTTAATAACTCAGCTTAAAGCCTACGGCTAAGTTATCAACGAAAATTCAATTACTAGGGATCAAACTCTAAGCCATGCAACTAAGGTTAGGGTAGGTACACAATAACCCGTTAAGTTCATCGTGAACTCTGATGAACACAGTATTGGGATATTAATGTTGCCATTACTGTAAAACTTATGCATAATTTTTGATCTTTTATTATAAATATTAATAGTTTTTGTGCTTCAAATGATGAATTGGACGGGTTACCCTAGACACTTCTGTAATTATACAATAAACACGTTTCAGGCAGCGAAAAAAAGTATTAATACTTTTCTACAGCCTGCTGAAAAGCGCGGAGATTACTTTAAGACACGAATTACAAAACCAGTGCGTTCAAATATTTAGCTATGCTATTTACACACAGTCTCGTGAATAACGAAGTGTACACAGTTAAAACGGGAAAAGTCTTAAATTGAAAAATTATAACGAATGAAAGCCCCTCGAGGGCTTACTGTACATTGTCACTGTTATCGTATTGAGTTATTTAATATTTGCGTTCTGACACGGAAACGTGTAAATGTTTTTTTTTTTGTTTACGAAACTCAATTCAAAAATATTTAATTTCTCCGTTACCCGGAAAAATACAAAATCATGGATGGAGAATAATACAATAATACAATTATTAATAAATAAATAATTAATTAAATACTTATTTAAGCGTAAGAGTCCAAACGTCGTATAAGGTAGCCAATAGAGCGCGAAATTTAAATCTAGGTGAACTAAGAAAACCGGTAAATTGAAACTTATTTTGACACTTTTGCTCCGAGGTAAGGATATATTATATTTATCTGGATTATACGGTTAAATAAGTATGGCCGACATTTTACATTAGCCGCCTTGAACTTGGGCTCAGTCAATTTTCTCGTTTATCATTTTTTTTTTTGCGCCGAACGAGATAGGTTGAGCTGCTTTTTGAAATTGCGTTTCATAGTATAAACCAAAAGTATTAAATCGTCTGAACCCTCGCGGCACCATCCTAAACTCCAAAAAGCTAGCTAGCACAGCTGTGTTGTTCTCCATCGGGGTCGGTACCAAATCCCGGGGATTAACAGTGGTTGCCAAAGCGGGCTCATTTCATTTGTTCGCCATCTGTATATATATATATATATATATATTCAAATATATTATATTAGTTTCTTTATCTGCGGCAGATAACCCGCGACAACTTATGCAACTTATTTCCATTGTTTTAGTCGATTTTGAAAACTTCCTTGGCACGCTGTGCGTGCGGTCAAGCGGCAGACCCGTTAAGGAAGCGAGCGTAGGATGAACCGTCATTATCTTTTTTGTCCCACTGCGTTTATGCAATAAGAAATATCGAATGCATACAAGTCTTTTACCTTGCCAGAAATGTACAAAGTCAAAGGTGTGCTTTGCGATTTATCCGAATTCTGTTTTACTTCTATACCGATTGAGCACCACCGAATTCTGACGCCAAAAGTTGTAAGTCCAGTTTTTCTAAACATTGTTTTATAAGTCTACTTGAGAATTTTGATCGTTTCTCATTTGACCGAATATTGCAAGTCAAATACTGTTAAAAACATGTTTTTTGATTCTGTAGTTTTTAGTTAAAGATAGGTAGTGATCTTCCAAATGAGTAACACTCATTTTATAACGTATGAGGAATGAAGTGAAAAATGTTTTGAAATCTATAGTAAAATATTATGTACCTTGAAAGTAAAGGAATGAAAATAATGCTGGAAATATTTATATTTTTCCAGAAAATGAGTGTCTTATCCTCAATAAACCATTGTGTATATGTACATTTTTTGACTTGCATTATTCTGACATCATATATTGATATCATATAGTTTACGTTTTACTGCCATTAAAGGAAATCTCAGTTTTAAAAAACTCCCTATACCTACTAAAAAAAAATAATGGAATATTTCATTTCAGAATTTCAAATGATTATTGCTGCGTTATAATATTTTTTTATTTATTTTCCGGACTTTAAGATAAATAACTTGAGCTCAGAAAGTATATTATAACGTTTAATGTTTTGCTGTTTTAAATGTCTCTCTCTCTGTATATATACATATAATGGTTAACTATTTGAACCAATTCAGTTTTCCAAATCGTTAAATCTTAAGAACCCATTTATGTTATTTATTTTGTTTCTAGAAATGGAGTTTTCATGCAAATAATATTGTTTTTAATCATTTTTATGGTGCGATTTAATTGCTGTTATGATGATTTTGAACTTTATTTTTTATTTTTAATCACATATTTATATATATATAAATATATATATTTATATATATATAAATATATATTTTTTGCTAAATGTGTAGTAATGCAACTTCATAAGAGTTATTACAAGACATTTTTATCATCCGTTATATAGCCCTATTATTTTCTCATAAAACACATTTAAAACGTCCATTAAGTAAGTTTCGCCTCTCGACGCCGCTATTAAGTTAGAACAATTTGAATAGGGTAATTTAGTATATTAAGTTGAAAAATATTGTCAGTAATAAAAGCGTTGAAATACCGTTTGTCGTTAATGCACAATGCCATTTTTATATGAACCCCCCCCCCCCAAAAAAAAAATAGATTTGACAGTAAAGATTGTTACAATAGCGATGGACTATAAAATAATTAAGCCCTTCCCGAATTGTCTACAGTTTATTTGTACATTACTATTGCAAAGGTTTCTGTAATATTTAAGTAGCTCTAAAAAAAAATATTTAAATAAATGCTGTGTCCCTTTCGAATGATTTATTAATTTATTTTAACCCATGTAATTCTTGAAAAGTGTCTCTTGTGGTTATTTAGTGACATGATAGGGAATCGCTGCAAAACTTATTCTGTTCAGAATTGTTCTGCAAGCTGTTTTTTTAGGGTCAAGTCATATATTATGTAAATTGGTTTAAGCCACATAAAAAAAGTAATTTTAAAATTTAAATTTATGAGTGTAATCAGGCGACGAAATAGTTTGTTCTATCATTGTTTTTTTTATTAGTTTAGTTTTTTTTTATACGATTTTATTTTCGTTACAAACTACATGTTTTTAACAAGTATAAATATAAAATGTATTAGTATAGTTTTACTCTATCAAAATTATACCTATAACTACTATGCGTGGATGTAATCCGGTGAGTTTATCGTCCATCGCCGAAAATGAACTTTTTTTTAACACTTACACAGTGGGATGAACATAAAATGTTGGCAAGGAAAATCTACTGGATTTTACAGCTGTTTTAGTAACATAAAAAAGCGACATTAAAGGAAGCAGCTGCCGGTAATAGCATTTGAGCGCACAATACTTCACTATAACATGACACTGCAACACAAAATCCAGTCCAACTCGAACAAGAAGCATTTGTAATTTGTCTAGCGTGCTCCAACTCCTATACTAAGTTCAAACTTGTAACTTTGAAAGTAATTGCCTAAAACTAGTTATCGACCAATTTAAATTTCCAGCAAATTATTTTTGAATTTTAAAAGTTATTTATACACGAGTATACGTTAACCTTTATGTTTCAAATAGTGGATAGGGTTCTTAAAAAAAATATATACACAAATTAAATATGATCTAATATTGTAAAATAACACTAAACCAATGTGTCTGCCAAAAGGAAAAGCTACAAATTTTAAGCAAAAAGAGTGTGTAATTGAACTGAATCCCTTTTCATTTTGCGGTCATAGTAACGTGTCTTGGACACGTGTGATAGAAGCGTGGATCTTGCCCCTGTGACCCTATGACCCTATGTGTAGGTACTTGGCATTTATCGCTGTGTCAAATGAAATTAAATGAAACGAGATTGAATTCAATCACGAGTCCGTATCAATGCAATGGCGGCACTGTACCTTTAGGCACTGACCTTTTAGAGCTATTCGGACAATAGCTTGTGTCCCGTCGTTATCTAAAAGAGATGGTACGTTAGCGATATATATATAATATACTACTTGAACGCCATAAACACACCACGGCCGAGAAACGTTTTTCTATTAGGAATTTCTGCAATATTATATGTCACACATTAGACTGGAAAACAAGCTCGGCGAAAATAGGTTGAGACTAGGTTTGGGAATTTTAAAAATAATTACATCTTCTTCATCCTCGCCTTACACTCCCAACTACACGGGGTCAGCCGAAAATCTAAAAAAAAAACAAATTACATAATTACTTAGTTATAAAAACCTGTTTATCTCTCATTTTAATGGTTGTTTCTAATCACTTTAAGCCATAAAATATACCTCGATAGATTTAAAACTAAATATTTATTAAAAACAAAAAAGTAGACGTCCCATTAATAGGACACTGACTGAAAGGGTTAACTTTTAAAAAAATTTACCGATTTATAGCACTACCAGATGTTTTTTTTTCCATCGAGAATACATAACAATTACATGTTATGGATTAAACCTCAAAATTAACTTTTTGTATTTATCAATTAATGCGTTAAAAACTGGCAACATTACACAATAGAACGGATTTTCTGAACATATTAAACATACAAATAAACAGTTTCATAATTATGTGATTTAACAAAAAAATAATGTTTTTGTGAACATATCCACACTGTGTAAACGGTTTGAAATGAATTGACAACATATTA